AAGAGAGGTACCTATTGTGCTTGTCGATTCACCCTACAACAAATTGAAATACAAGAAAAGGTTCAATATGCACCATGCTAGCCTATTGGATGCAGCTGTGGATGAAGATGCAAGCAGTTAGTCCAGCAGAGGTTAATTCTTACATGTGGAGTGTACACTTGGCTATAAAGCGATAGAGTAGGGTGTGGTTGGGTTTTAGTCCCCAAGAATGTTTCATAGCCATTTTCTTAGTCTATTGTGGATTACTCAAGTTGTAAACTTCAATAATACTGGTTTCAAGACTTTGCTTCAAATAAATTTGGTCTGTATGGGAGCACCTAGAAATCTATTTTTGCTTTTTTACAACAATGTGACAGTTGTTTCAAGATTAGGAAAGTGAAACTCCAATATGAATTGTCAGGGTCTGGACAAGATTAATTACAGGGCACGAGCAACCCTAGAAGAATAATATTTTATGATTGGTTTATTTTTAGAATTTTCTATTGCTAATTGCAAGTGTCGTCCCATATTGAGCAGGAGCAGACATGTTTCAATAAAATTTGCTCACACATATACGAGAGGAAAAATGTATGAGCACGAGCATAGCCTCACAATGCAACAGAAGGTAAAATATTATATGAGTGAACACTCAATACCAGCTATCCAGGAAATGGCATAACTAATGTCTCGTAGGTAGGTCGCAAATCCTATAAAGTAGAGCATTGGATCACAGGCGTAAAGTACATATCGAAAGAGGCATGCCGGTGCTGCAACGACCATGATGTGGCATGGAAGAGCGTGCCCTGAATTGAAGGGATCACGGGGGCTGTAGGCACCTTCAGGAGCATAGCAGGGTGGCAATGGTACATCCATCCTGCTTGAGGGAATCACATACCATGTTGTGTGATAGCTCTGCAAAACAAAGGAAAAATTACTACTTGTACTCACCTTATCACATGTATCTAGCTAACAAACGTTGCGAGTAACTTAACATCGAAGAATCAAACGCCTGAATTTTTAACAATCCAATGCTCATTCCTCTCTCTCTGTTTTTGCAAGGATCATTTCTCTCTATTTCACAAGGGTAAAACATCATAATAAGAATTTACACTAATCCTCCAATGTTGGATATCCCCTTTGAATCTTTTTTTATAAACCACATGCCCAAGTCTGTTGAACCTAGTCCAGCAATTGCACAGGAAGAAGCGAGCATCATAAATATTGAGCAACATAAGCTATGAATTGTTTATAGGACATTCCTAAATTAATAGATTAACATCTCTCCCTGACCAAATCCAAGGTCTCACCTATCAGCCAAATTGAAAGAATAAAGCTTGAATTAATTGTACAACTGTACATATGCAACAGTCGAAGATACATAGATGTTGCCTGATGTGGATGAGGTCGCACGAATGGGGCTCGTTGGTTGAGGCCGTCTGACTTAATCCAGCCCCGCAGTACCCCGCTGATACGTCTCCATCGTATCTACTTTTCCTAACACTTTTGTTCTTGTTTTGGACTCTAATTTGCATGATTTGAATGAAACTAACCCGAACTAACGCCGTTTACAACAGAACTATCATGGTGTTATTTTTGTGCAGAAATAAAAGTTCTAGGAATGGAATGAAACTTTTTGGAGAATTATTTTACAATAAATGAAAAATACTGGAGCCAAGAACCACCGGAGGGGGGCCCTGGCTGAGCACAAGACACCAGGGCGCCCCTCTTCCAGGCGCGCCCTGGTGGGTTGTGCCCACCTCGTGGCCCCACTGACCCTAATTCCAGCGCCATAAAATCCTATTTTTGGAGAAAAAAATCGGAGAGGAAGAATCATCGCGTTTCATGAGACAGAGCAATCGCCATCTCCTGTTCTTCACCGGGAGGCCAGATCTGGAGTCCGTTCGGGGCTCCGGAGAGGGGAATTTTCGATCTTTGTCATCACCAACCCTCCTTCATCGCCAATTCCATGATGCTCCCCACCGGGAGTGAGTAATTCCTTCGTAGGCTCGCTATTCAGTGAGGAGTTGGATGAGATTCATCATGTAATTGAGTTAGTTTTGTTAGTGCTTGATCCCTAGTATCAACTATGTTCTGAGTTTGATGTTGCTATGACTATGCCATGCTTAAAGCTTGTCATTAGGGGCCGAGTGCCATGGTTTCAGATCTGAACTGTTTATGTTTTCACCATTATATCTATTTTCTAGTTCCAATCTTTCTAGTCATATGCACCTGCAACGTGTTATGATTCGTAAACCCGGGGTGATAGTAATTGGGATACTTTCCGGTGATGACTGTAGTTTGAGGAGTTCATGTATTCACTATGTGTTAATACTTTATTCCTGTTCTCTATTAAAAGGAGGTCTTAACACCCCTTAGTTTCCTTAAGGACCCCGCTGCCACGGGAGGGTAGGACAAAAGATGCCATGCAAGTTCTTTTCCATAAGCACATATGACTATTTATGGAATACATGCCTACATTATATTTGTGAACTGGAGCTAGTTCTGTGTCGCTCTAGGTTATGAATGTTATATGATTAATATCATCCAACGAATCCACCGTTCCAATGCCTACAAGTTTCCCACATATTGTTCTTGCTAAGTTACGATTGCTATTGCTACTGTTACACTTGCTACATCTTTGATATCACTATTACTGTTACTACTATTGTTACCACTGCTATCAAACTATCACATTACTGTGTTACTAATCACTTTGTTGTAGATATTTAATATTCAGGTGTGATTGAATTGACAACTCAACTGCTAATACTTGCAAATACTCTTTGGCTTCCCTTGTGTCGAATCTATAAATTTGGGTTGAATACTCTACCCTAAAAAACTATTGTGATCCCCTATACTTGTGGGTTATCACCCACCAGCAATGAGAACATGGTCCATCTAGATGCCCAACCACCTTTGCTTGCGGGCATGGCGGAGAGGTGATCTAGAGGATGCAAACAACCACGTGGGGAGTGGGAAAGAGGTAGTAACTCACCTCATGGCTATAGGCACACGCATAGAGGACTGGGAGGTGGGATGGTGCCGAATCTTTGCTAGCGACCGCCGTGGGGAGGGCATACATCCTCTTCTCATTTTCTTTGGTGAAGAGGAGGTGCCAGAGCGTGAGGGGATTGGAGTGGAGGAAGGGAGGGGCCGCGACGCGCGGCTCGATCCTGTCGGCGAGGGATGAAACCCTACGGCCGGCAAGGAGTCAAACCCTAGCGACGACACAGTGACAGGAATGAGCTGGATGAAAATCATACCAAAAATATCCCTAAAATTTGTACCGAGAATACCGTTGAAATATTTGAGAGGGAATACCTGATCAGTTTGAAAAAAACTCTTCCAAAAATTCCCCTCATGCTCTATTATAATACACGTGACATCAACGTATTGCATTGGATCTGGACCGTCCAATCCGGTCCAGCGGACGGTCCATATCGACTGGATGCACTGTAAAAGGACTCCCGAGGTAAAGCCTATGTCTAACTTGAGTTGGTTATACCAGAGAATGACGATGTTTTTCAGTTGTTACCTTGTTCAAGGCATTACTCATATATGTTCGGACTGGTTCTTCAGTGTGAAAATCTAGATTCTGACCTTGGATGGTTGGATCCGGTGACAGAGGCGTTGAGCGTTGATCCCTTTCTGAGCTCGTTGCTATTGAAGAACTTCATCGTCTATATATGGTGTCATGAGATGGTTGACATGGATATGGTCATTGTTATAGCTTGCCAATCACGAATCTGCTTGCTTTGGGATATTTTTCTTTTTTCCTCGCGTGCGCATAGGTTTGGTTTTATATGACGGTCGTGTCTATTTTAAGTATGTTGGTGTTGACTATGTATATTCTACTACCTCCGTCCTGATTTATTGGTCCCCCTCGCATTTTGTGTCAAAATTTGACCTTAAATTTCACTACTAAAATGCTAACATGTAACCAAAATAAATATCATTGGAAACCATGTTCAAATACGAATCCAACAATATAATTTTTAGTGACATGCATTATTATTCTCTTAGTTAAATCTATACTCAAAATTTGGCACTAAATACTAAGGGGACCAATAAACCAGGAAGGAGCACTAGTAGAAAAACGACTTTTAGTACCAGTCCGTAAGGACCTTTAGTACCGATTTTGGAAACCGGCACTAAAGGGTGGGGACTAAAGGTCCCCCTCCTTTAGTCCCGGTTCAACATGAACCGGGACCAAAGGCCAACCACGTGGCATGAGGCGCGTCGATTTTCTTTTTTGAAATAAAGCAAAAACTGCCCGCCTACTGGGCCGGCACGGCCTGCATACGACTAAAAACCCAACCTCTAGTTGGGCCATGATGCAGGCCCATACGGCCCATACGGCCCACAGGGCAGAAGACTTGCAATAGGCCCACAAAGGCCTGCTTGGAGAGGAGCTCGACACAGTAGCCACGGCGGGGCTTATAAGCCGGTGCGAGCTCCTCTCAACTAGCGAGGTGGGACTAAACATTGTGCACTGCGGGTGGCAGCGCCCCCCCCTCCCCCCCAATTTACGCTCCAACCGGTACTATAGGTCACAAATGAACCGGGACTAATGCATAGATGTTCGAACCGGGACTAATGATACAATTAGTGCCGGTTCATTTACAAATCGGTATTAATGTGTCTCACGTAAAATAGTTTTTCTAGTAGTGGAGGTAGTAACTATGAAAAAGGCCGAGTGTGTGCTTATTATTTTTCTTCCTCTTGATGTTTCGTTTGAGCCATTAAAATGCATCCTTTATTGAAAAATATGTCTTGGTCCATTGACCAGTCCTATGGAGGTGTTCATAGCACGACATTTCTAAATATCTTTTTCCAACCAATCTCCAGCAAGATCCCAGAAAGGAATAATAAGGACTTGTCCGGCCCTTGTCTTACATTAAAAGAACTCACCTCGGCGAGGGTGATGTGTGCACGTCGGAGGGTATGTACTATGTAGAAGTCAAAGCTGTTGGAACTGGATCCTTAAAAGCGGGAAAATTGGTCGAGCAAAGCCATGGGCCATGGCTCGGCTCTTCCTTTTAGTCCTCCTCTCAGTAGTTTCCTCCTTGAGCGGATTACATGGCCAGTTCTCCACGACGGACTATCCTGACTGCTCCAACAAGGACAACTACACCATGGCCAGCCCGTACCAGGTGAACCTCGCCGAGCTCATGCATGGCCTCTTGGTCAGCGCCATCGACAACGGCGGCTTCGCCAGCCTTACGGCTGGCGAGGCGCCTGACAAGGTCTTCGGCCTCGTTATGTGCTACGCCGACGGCAACTGGACCAATTGCAAGTACTGCATCAGAGCCGCAACCGGCGGCATACAGCAAGCGTGCCCGTTCAGCCGGGTGGCCAGGGCCTGGTACGACGTCGCGTGCGTGCTGCGGTACTCGAACGAATCCTTCTTCTCCGTCGCCAGCCTTGACATTACTCGCATGACTGATCACGACGGGGCAACCAACGCCGAGGTGTTCGACGCGGCGCGCAGCGTGAACGCAACTCGATGGAAGCTGATGAGCCGACTCACGGTGGAGGCTGGCAGCTCCTCCCTCCGGTTGGCGAACGGAAGCGAGCGGTACACGGACTCGCAAGGTATGGAGCAGGACATGTACGGCATGGCACAGTGCACGAGGGACCTAAACGCTAGTGAGTGCAGCAGGTGCTTGAGAGATCATCTTCCAGCTTATTCAAACCTATTGCCACTGATGAAATTTGCAAACAAATCCTTTAGTGGCTTCATGGGGTATAGCTGCTACATGCGGTACTCGATAGGCATCCCCATACCCATCACCATCTTTCCAGTAGCCGAGCCGCCGCCAGGGACACGAGTCACACTCACACCACTCCCACCAGGTAATTTGCATTGAGTATCTTCGTGCGAAGTACGATTTAATCAGTGAAATGAAAATTCCATATGCCTAATGTAAATTTCTGTCGTGCTGTTTCCTTTGGTAATTAGCTTCATCATCACCCTCCTCAACCGTGCCGGCTAGCAGCAGGAGAAGCGCGCTGATAGTGGGCGCCTCAGCCAGCTCCATCGCGTTCGCAATCATCGCTGGTATGTCTCTTTGGTTTGGTTTGCGCCGTAGGAGGCAAAAGAAGTCAGCGAGAGAGCAAGAAAACCAATTGTTCGACGAGCAGCCCATGGAAGAGGAGTTCGATCAGGGCATGGGGCCCAGGAGGTTCCGCTACAACGAGCTCGCTATCGCCACAAAGCATTTCTCCGATGAGGGGAAACTCGGCCAAGGGGGCTTCGGGTCGTGTACCACGGGTATTTGAAGGATGAGGACCTTCAGGTTGCAGTAAAAAGAGTTTCAAAGACATCTCAACAGGGGAAGAAGGAGTACGTCTCCGAGGTGACAATCATAAGCCGGTTAAGGCACCGCAACCTCGTGCAACTCATCGGTTGGTGCCACGGCGGCGGCGAGCTTTTGCTTGTCTATGAGCTGATGCTGAATGGCAGCCTCGATACTCACATTCACAACCCGGAGACCCTCCTATCATGGCCACTCAGGTATCCGCACAACAACTATTGTACATCTGCTTACTGCCTTACTCCACACCTTGGATGAGATTTCTAGTGTGATGCCTTGTTTATTTATCTTTATAATAGGTATGAGATATATAGTTCTTGGCATAGGGTCTGCCCTTTTATACCTGCATCAGGACTGGGAGCAATGTGTTCTGCACCGAGACATCAAGCCAAGCAACTTGATGTTGGATGCATCCTTCAATGTGAAGCTCGGTGATTTTGGGCTGGCAAGACTCGTGCAACACGGGCAAGGATCACACACCACTATGCTCGCCGGAACAATGGGCTACATGGACCCGGAGAGCATGGCTTCCGGAAGAGCCAGCACCGAGTATGACGTCTACAGCTTCGGCGTGGTCATCCTCGAGATTGCCTGCGGCCGGCGCCCGCTCCTGGTCCTGTGGGGAAATGAAGCATGCACCATGCACCTAGTGCAATTTATTTGGGAATTATATGGCGCTGGAAGGATCCTTGACGCAGTAGATCATCGACTAAATGACGAGTTTGACAGCCAAGAGATCCAGCGTGTGATGATCGTCGGGCTTTGGTGCACACACCCTAATAGAAGCCTGAGACCGTCCATAAGGCAGGCGATGAACGTGCTGAGTACTGAGGCACCGTTGCCGAGCCTCCCCGCCAAGATGCCTGTTGCCATGTTTGTTTCGCCGGTTGACAGCTTCTTATCTGAATCTATAACTGGAACAACGACCATCAGCAGCGGTAGCGGTGGGACCTACAGCGCAGGCACCACGCATTCTAGCACCTACACAACGAGCACCACACATTCCAGCAGTGGGATACACACCGGCAATGTTTAATCTTGTAGCATGATTATATTGTGCGGTTTGTGCCGGTTTCGTATCTCGGACGTGCTCATAGGGGTAGGGTATGCGAGTGTGCTTTTATAGGGTGATTGTATCTTATAGGGATAGGATGTGCGTGCGTGTTTTTATAGGGGTGAGTATATGTGCATGTATGTGAGCATTTGTGATTATACTGTGCTAAAAAAATTGTGCCATTTGGTCGTGTGGAATACAAGCGCAATGTAGGCTTTTAAGCGCTGCTATTCTTACCTGTTTTTTTCTAGAATTTGTCACCAATCAAACAAATCCAAATGCAGGCCTTACCGTGGTTCAGCCAATTCGTCACTGAGATTGCAGTGCAGAATCCCTTGTCATCTGGCGCTCCGTCGAGGATTCGGATCTTGTTCGGCGCAAACTGCGCTGCCCAAATCGATCAGCCCTTCCCAACACAAACTACCGGAAAACTGACCTATGCCTACGGCCAAATCAATGCTGACGGCTGCCGTCGGCCTAGTTTGAGATATGCCGACAGCCTCGTCCTGGCCGTCGGGCTACCCTGATATAAGCCGACGGCAGCCGTCGGCCTATCTACAAACACGCCGACAGCAGCCGTCGGTATAACATAGCCGTCGGCATACAAAGTGGGCCCGGCGACCTCGCCCGTTGTTGGGGAACGTAGCAGAAATTCAAAAATTTTCCTACGAATCACCAAGATCTATCTATGGAGAGACCAGCAACGAGTAGAAAGAGAGTGCATCTACATACCCTTGTAGATCGCTAAGCGGAAGCGTTCAAGTGAACGGGGTTGATGGAGTCGTACTCGTCGTGATTCAAATCACCGATGATCAAGTGCCGAACGCACGGCACCTCCGCGTTCAACACACGTACAGCCCGGTGACGTCTCCCACACCTTGATCCAGCAAAGAGAGAGGGAGAGGTTGAGGAAGACTCCATCCAACAGCAGCACAACGGCGTGGTGGTGGTGGAGGAGCGTGGCAATCCCGCAGGGCTTCGCCAAGCACCATGGGAGAGGAGAAGAACTTGGGAGAGAGGGAGGGGCTGCACCAAAGGCATAAGGTGTGTATGGGAGGCCCTCCTACCCCCACTATATATAGGGATCCCAAGGGGGGGTGCGCCAGCCCCTAGGAGATCCAATCTCCAAGGGGGCGGCGGCCAGGGGAGGAGTCCTCCCCCCCAAGGCACCTAGGAGGTGCCTTCCCTTGCTGGGACTCTTCCTTTAGGGTTTCCCCAGGCGCATGGGCCTCTTGGGGCTGGTGCCCTTGGCCCATGTAGGACAAGGCGCACCCCCTACAGCCCATGTGGCCCCCCGGGGCAGGTGGCCCCACCCGGTGGGCCCCCGGGACCCTTCCGGTGGTCCCAGTACAATACCGATGACCCCGAAACTTGTCCCGATGGCCGAAACAGGACTTCCTATATATAAATCTTTACCTCCGGACCATTCCAGAACTCCTCGTGACGTCCGGGATCTCATCCGGGACTCCGAACAACATTCGGTAACCACATATAAGCTTCCTTTATAACCCTAGCGTCATCGAACCTTAAGTGTGTAGACCCTACGGGTTCGGGAGACATGCAGACATGACCGAGACGTTCTCCGGTCAATAACCAACAGCGGGATCTGGATACCCATGTTGGCTCCCACATGTTCCACGATGATCTCATCGGATGAACCATGATGTCAAGGACTCAATCGATCCCGTATACAATTCCCTTTGTCTAGCGGTATTTTACTTGCCCGAGATTCGATCGTCGGTATCCAGTACCTTGTTCAATCTCGTTACCGGCAAGTCACTTTACTCGTTCCGTAACACATCATCCCGTGATCAACTCCTTGGTCACATTGCGCATATGATGATGTCCTACCGAGTGGGCCCAGAGATACCTCTCCGCTTACACGGAGTGACAAATCCCAGTCTCGATCCGCATAAAACAATAGATACTTTCGGAGATACCTGTAGTGCACCTTTATAGTCACCCAGTTACGTTGTGACGTTTGATACACCCAAAGCACTCCTACGGTATCCAGGAGTTACACGATCTCATGGTCAAAGGAAGAGATACTTGACATTGGCAAAGCTCTAGCAAACGAACTACACGATCTTTGTGCTATGCTTAGGATTGGGTCTTGTCCATCACATCATTCTCCTAATGATGTGATCCCGTTATCAACGACATCCAATGTCCATAGCCAGGAAACCATGACTATCTGTTGATCACAACGAGCTAGTCAACTAGAGGCTCACTAGGGACATATTGTGGTCTATGTATTCACACGTGTATTACGATTTCCGGATAATACAGTTATAGCATGAATAAAAGACAATTATCATGAACAAGGAAATATAATAATAATACTTTTATTATTGCCTCTAGGGCATATTTCCAACAGTCTCCCACTTGCACTAGAGTCAATAATCTAGTTCACATTGCCATGTGATTAACACTCACAGGTCACATCGCCATGTGACTAATACCCAAGAGTTTACTAGAGTCAGTAGGCTAGTTCACATCACTATGTGATTAACACTCAATGAGTTTTATGTTTGATCATGTTGCTTGTGAGAGAGGTTTTAGTCAACAGGTCTGAACCTTTCAGATCCGTGTGTGCTTTACAAATCTATATGTCATCTCCTAGATGCAGCTACCACGCTCTATTTGGAGCTATTCCAAACAACTGTTCTACTTGGAGCTATTCTAAATTATTGCTCCATTATATGTATCCGGTCTCTCTACTCAGAGCTATCCGGATAGGTGTCAAGCTTGCATCGTCGTAACCTTTACGACGAACTCTTTTACCACCTCCATAATCGAGAAAATTCCTCAGTCCACTAGTTACTAAGGATAACTTTGACCGCTGTCCTGTGATCCATTCATGGATCACTCTTGTACCCCTTGACTGACTCATGGTAAGGCACACTTCAGGTGCGGTACACAGCATAGCATACTGAAGAGCCTACGTCTTAAGCATAGGGGACGACCTTCGTCCTTTCTCTCTATTCTGCCGTGGTCGAGCTTTAAGTCTTAACTTCGTACCTTACAACTCAGGCAAGAACTCCTTCTTTGACTGGTCCATCTTGAACACCTTCAAGATCATGTCAAGGTATGTGCTCATTTGAAAGTATTATTAAGCATTTTGATCTATCCTTATAGATCTTGATGCTCAATGTTCAAGTAGCTTAATCCAGGCTTTCCATTGAAAAACACCTTTCAAATAACCCTATATGCTTTCTAGAAATTCTACATCATTTCTGATCAACATATACTCATCAGAAATTCTATAGTGCTCCCACTCACTTCTTTGGAAATACAAGTTTCTCATAAACTTTGTACAAACCCAAAATCTTTGATCATCTCATCAAAGCGCACATTCCAACTCCGAGATGCTTACTCCAGTTCTTAGAAGGATTGCTGGAGCTTTGCATACCTTTTAGCATCCTTAGGATCGACAAAAACTTTTCTGATTGTATTGCATACAACCTTTCCTTACGAAAACTAGTAAGGAAACTTGTCTTGACATCCATCTGCCAGATTTCATAAATGCAGCTAATGCTAACATGATTCCGACGGACTTTAAGCATCGCTACGAGTGAGAAAATCTCATCGTAGTCAACTCCTTGAACTTGTCGGAAAACACTTCGCCACAAGTCGAGCTTCATAGATGGTGACATTACCATCCACATCCGTCTTCTTCTTAAAAAATCCATTTATCTCAATGGATTGCCGATCATCGGGCAAGTCCATCAAAGTCCATGCTTTGTTCTGATATATGGATACTATCTCGGATTTCATGGCTTCTAACCATTTGTCGGAATTCGGGCCCACCATTGCTTCTCCATAGCTCGGAGGTTCATTGTTGTCTAGCAACATGACCTTCAAGACAGGATCACCTTACCACTCCGAAGTAGTACGTGTCCTTGTCATCC